GTAAAGGTCTCGAATTCGTAGCGTTTAAATAAACCTTACTTGTTATTTTTTTACTAAAAGTTAGTTGTAACTTAATAACTTAAAATATTACATTATTTTTAAAAAGATAGGTTTTGATAAAAAGATTCATAACAATTCGTTTTAAAGTTTTATTTTCTACTAACTGTGCCCGCGACTTCGTGTGCGTGGAATAGTGACTTTGAATAGTTCTTCACAGCCCTCCCCCCGTGGTTGATAGCGTGATAATGTGTAGCCTATATGTTGACCCAACCTGTTAGTAATATTTATGCAAAATTTTGAAGTGTGTTGGAAGCAGTACTTTTTGAGATTAGTCCGGACATATATACAGACAAACAGACAATAATTCTGAAAACTATATTTTTTTAGTTTGAAGTCATCATCTCCCCAGGTATTTTTTACATAAATATTCGATGCATTACAGTTTTGACTTTCCTACAATTTTATCAATTTTTATTATATGTATAGACTAACCGGTACCCGCGGCTTTACCCGCATTCCCTTGAGATATAAAGTACCCTGTGTGTTCTTTCAGACCATAACCTGCCTCTGTTCCAAATTTCATCCCGATCCCTTCAGCAGTTTTGATGTAAAGGAGTAAAAAACCAAAAAACAAACACACAAACACATGTAAACATGATTCCGACATACATATTTAAACCTGAAACATTGTCTACACGTCGCATAATAACACACACACACACACACACACACACACACACACACATAAAATAAACTGATTAATTCTGAACTCAATAAACAAGATATACAGGTGCGTTTCTTAATGAAATTGGTACCAAAATAATATCTTATTTTCGTGTCAACAAAGACAATAACAAACATCATAATTCAATTAATTAATAGCGCAGTATTAAGCTGTAAATTCATTAAATAAATTCTCAGAGTCGCTAAGTAAATGAGATAAGGCGTAATTTATTCCCAGTGTCTAAACAAATTGTTTGTTTATAATTAAATCAAGGAAGTTTACACTTTTGTGCATGGCTTACCCTTGTCTGGATACTAATGAGACAAAACAAAAATATACTTTAATTAGGAGTTCGTAGAATTGCAAGTTCAAGAGCATTTGTAATGCATACGTTATAGTATATTGGTTAAGGTACTAAGATAAACATCTTCTATTTCGTATGTGTAATTCCGTTTTCTCCCGTTCTCGTAGGATTTTCAGATAAAAAAACCTTTTTTCTGTCAAAAGAACCTTCTCTTTATAATAACAAATTAAAAAAGAATTAGTGACATAGATCCATTCACGCGTGATGCCGTGACCAAGGGAAAAAGGGATTCAATTTTAAATATATAGAACTAGCGGCCCGCCCCGGCTTCGCACAGGTGCAATATGCATATATTATACATATAAACCTTCCTTAAGAATCATTCTATCTATTAAAAAAACCGCATCAAATCCGTTGCGTAGTTTTAAAGATCTAAGCATACATAGGGACAGACAGACGGTGGATAGCGACTTTGTTTTGTACTACGTAGTGATATCTAGATTTAGGTGACCGACGTTTGACCACTATCTCGCCTGGTGATAAGCGATGGTGCGGTGATATTAGTGATACCTAAAACATCTTAACTACTGGATTTTTACGTAAACTCTCTTATTATTGTGTTCAGTTTAAGGCGATAAGTTCACATCGATATTACATGGGACTTATAACATAACTGGTTAAAATGGGTTGTGATATTTAGTATCTAAATAAAAAATATTTATTTTGTAACAGGTTTTCTTTACATCTGTTTGTCATATTTTTGTGATAACAACGTGACGCACTAAGAATTTTTCTCAGGTCATCGTGTGAGTCATAGGAATTCCTAGCAATGTCATTCGAGAGATAGAGAGAGTAGAGAGTCGCTGCACCACAATTGACTAGTCATAGAAGTTGATATTTTTGGCTTTGGTGACAAAATGAGTATTTCGGTGATTTCCGTAGATTAGTCAGCAAATGTATATTCATACAGATTAAAAATACCTGGGACGGAAGGCGTTCTAAAGCTCTTATACTAAAAATAAAGACGTTTTCATCATTGCCAACGTAAAAATAAAATATTTTTCTGAGAAATTATCAAAATTCATTCTTTTTCATCGAACTCAAAACTAGGTTCTTAAAATGGATACTGAAATTATACTTGACCCAGCCCAATACTGTGAATGATCTTTTGAAAATCATCTAATGACTTATCTCGCCTTGGGTAAGACTCTTGCTTCTTATTAACTGAAACCCAACCAGTTCCTACTTCTGCTTTGATCCCGAGTACTGGTTACCGGCTAGGTCGCTCGATCTAAGTTACGCTCCTAAAATTGCATGCTTTTTCGACAACCAAGCTAACAAAGCAATACCTCTATAGATGCTTTATCATGTCATTTATTAGATAGGTAATAGCTGTTGCCCGCAACTTCATCTACCTAGAATATGATTCCTGTTTTATCACATGAGAGCATGAAATCGGGATCAAAAGTATCCTATCACCAGTCAGCCCATACCCTACCTGTAGGTATAAAGGAGGCCATACACGCTAGGTTATGCATGATGGTTATAACTGTGCATGCAAAACCGACAAGCATAACCGAGCACCGATGCACCGATAACTGTACAGTTTAGACACATACAAGCTAGGGCATACATGCACGGCTAAAACTATCATGCAGAACCTAGCGTGCATGGCCTCCTTAACAAATTTCATCAAAATCAGTTATATAGTTTCAGTGTGATTGACGGACAAACATCCAAAAATACAAACAAAGAAACGATCACATTTATAATACAGTGTGATAGCGTAATACATGATACTATAACCACACTAAAGTAATTAAATAGAGCATAACATAATATATTATTTTGACACCTGAGTCCGAGACATTAATTAATAGATCCATTGTCTACACTAGCCGTAAATAGACTATTTATAGCCTTTGTGTCTATAAGGGGAGCGGAACTAATTGTTTGTAGTCCTGTCATGGGGGCGGACCCTATCTTTTGTACAACCACGTAGGACGGGGGTCAATAGAGGAAACTTTCATGTTTAGAAGAGATTTTAAGAAGCAGTTCATTATTTTGCTTTGGGACATTTAACTTTTCATAATTTTGGTCTCGACTATAAATGTCTTTAAAACTATGGAAACCTAATAGTATTTTATCCACCTTGTCACACTTAGGGTCACTGCCATACGGATCAGATGACTAAATGTAAACATGGCACAAGTAAACCGTAAACAGGAAAATAGAACTTCATTCAATTCAATAATTGATTGTAATTAATTAAATGTATTAAAATAAAATCAACAGCTCATTGAATACGCGATAGGTATAAGTAAAATTTGTAAAATAGGTAGATGTGTTATTCTTTCGACATGATGGTTCTCAAATTCATGCCTAGGACATGTAAAGAGGGGATGTATTGTAATTTCAACTTGTTGTCTACTGATTTGAGTGAGCTTTGTTCATAACGGTTGTTGTTGAATATGTTTTATAAATCAAACAGACAAAATTGATTTAGTACTATAGAATTTTAAAGACACTAATACATACCCGTCTTTATCAATCTCTCATTTTAAAGAACCCTGTTATGGCAGGTGGTACTAGCAGTTTAGTTACGGTATTGGACATGACGCTTCTCAGATGCTAGATAGCGGGTTTCGTGAGAACCAACTAGGAACTATACATCTGGACTTACAATTATACACTTAGACCTTTTAAACTGCGATACAGGGTACATACTTCATCAGGGTACGCCTTCAGTCAGTACAATCTAGTTTCTAACCAGAAACATCTTGTTAACAAAATCCATTGACAATTTGATTTCGAATGCACAAAAGATCCTGTTGCTATGTACTAGACCTAAATGCTTTGACTTTGACTTCATTCATTTCTGCGGCATTGAGATGAATGAGCGAATTAACGGTAGTTCTGATCCACGCAGCGTGACACTGCGCACCGCTCCTACAGGTAATTGTAGTTATAGTAGCCTACATACATTAGCCCAATGATAATTTACGCCAAAACTAGCACATTGTGCCTATTATCATCGTTCGAAGAGAAGAGACACTCTTATGCTTTCCCTAAGTATGTTTTTTATAGCGAATATTATGGAAGTGTATGTTAGTTATATTGAAATGTAATATTAAACGTAGCAAATATGTAAACCTAGTAGTTAGTAGAAATGTTGACCAAGTAAATGTAATACTTTACGCAACTCTGGAGTAGTACACTGGTTTTTCTGCGGAATAATCAAGCTTTCAACTATTAGACCAGTCAAGCATTATGAGGTGGTAGAAATAAACTGCTTTATAAATAGGTATCTAGGTACTAAAATAATATTAAATTGTGTATGGTGTATGGTGAACGTAAGAAGTTAAACAAGTTTTTTTTATAAACTACGTATAATAAACCTTCTGTCTTTTTTTGAAGTCGGTTAATTAATATACCAAAACCTTCTCCTAAGTATAACAAACACTTTTCTGAAAACCTCATCAAAATTGGAACAGCCGATCGCGAAAAAATCGCGCACAAACATACATACATGTCAAACTGTGAACCTCATTTTTTGAAGTCGGTTAATTTCAACGTGTTCATTAATAACATTGTAACAACAAATACTATTTTAAAATTATAACTTCGTAGACGTGTTGATAAAACTGTCCTCATTACCAAGTAATATGGTGAAATTCAATAATTAGATTATATCTTCATAAAATAAAATACCACGTGATGTTTTCCTCATTATTCCAAATTCTAATATTGATCATAATGCATGTTACAGATAGAATGGTAACAGTTTTACTTAATAGTAAGATGTCAATTTAAGTGCAAAATTGTAATTATTTACTATCAAAACCGAGACTTAATGAAACATCTTAGAAAAAAAAAAACAGCCACCATGACGACTACCCAATTACACCCAAAAAAAAAATCATAATTTTTTTTTTATTGATTATTATGTAATTATATAATTACAATACCCACCGTGAAAAGAACACAAATCACAAGTACACTCGCGATCACAATCACTTATCACTGACAGACACACAGTCGCGACGAGCTCCCGAGGGCGACTGAGCGTCACACTCGGGAGACGGTACACGTGACAACAGCGGTGCTATGCACTTTTGAATATAGAACTGTAAATTTTAGACTTGGAAAATTATTTTTTTTCTTTTTTCTTTGACTCTTTCAATGTGTATTTGTCATTGAGGCGTGGATAAAATTAATTGTTTTTTTATTAACTAATAATATTTTAAGTAATAGTTAAGTAAAACATTTTAAAAATACGAAATTAATTATATTACTTGCAAACACATCATGAAATTGTGTTAATGCTATTAAAAACTATTGTGCAAGCACACGTCAAATATTGAATACCGCATAAACACGAAAAAAAAACACATAAATACTTACTATACAATCAGTGTTAAAAAAATCCTTTCATAAACAATTTTAATACAATTTCAAAATCTAATAAGACTACAAAAGGTACATTTATACAATTTACTTTAATATATAATTTAATGAAACTTCTGTGACCGTCAGTACACTAGTTGTCCTTTATTTAACCATCTGTCAAAAGTGCTCGCGAGTCACAACAGTCGATTGATGCGTGTGGTAGAGTTTATCTCGCATTGTAAACATCGTTTACATTTAATTTGTTAGTTAAATGTTATTATTGTCATCAGAAACTAAGTTTGTTAAATATTTAGCCATTTTTGTATTGTCTGTGCTTTAATGATCGCAAAAGATTACTGAGCATTTTTTATGCCTATGGTAATGTGTTGCCAAATCTTCTTAATCGTTCTCTTCATTACTAAAGTCGTGTCTAGTCTGGTGCACGCTTTACTTGATGCACAACCCTTCTCGAAGAGCGGCTCTCTCCCCTGCGGTCTTTACAGGTTTTTAATGGGACAAGCCCGCCACAACCTCCCAAAACCGCTGCAATTCCTGTAAGCCAGGATCTACAGTAGATGCCTTCTTTATATGTTCTGTGGATACAACCATAAAACACTGCTCCACCACCACTGAAGTCCGGACGTCCCAGGGACATGAATAACTGTCTTGGTTCCCGCAACAAAGTGCATCAGAAGATATTAACAGAGGAGAAAAAAAAACGACAGTTTTCACTTCTCGGTGAATTACTGCAGGAGACAGAGTGAATTAAGCCTAAAGGCACAAAGAAAAGAGACAGTACAACTGGGTGAAGCCCAGTCGCCAAGCACCACGGAAGTTTGACTAAAATATAAGTGGGTCCTATGTGTGAGCTGTTATACTTGCTTCCAGTAATAGGTATGGTAAAAGCGCCTAAACGCACAAAAATTTTGTTCTAGATTCCACAAGGTCCATATAATAAGCTACACCTGACGAAACAATTAAATTATTTAACATAGTGTTACGTTCATACTGCCAGAGATCACACTCCCAGAGTATGTGATGGGCGGACTGCTTGTATTGCAGCTCCGCTGTCGAACATAGGCACCATGGTGAATCAACAAGTTTAAATGAGTATTTACAGGTTGTGGAACTGTCAGGCCGGTGGAGTTTTTTATTGTATCCAGCCAATGGGTAGGTGAGCGACCACGAGGTCTTTTCCCGTTAACCTAACCAACAACCACGAGCTTCTCCAGATTGTTAGGGTCTCTAAGCAGCAGATAGAAAGATTTTATTTATATTTTCTAATTTCTATTACTACTTCGTTATTTTTTTTTTCAATTTTTATTATTAACATGGAGTCTGGAATGGTGTCCGTCATATAGGCTAAACTCTTGTCATATTATTATATTCAGCTGGGAACAAGTGGGTGTTATATTGTAGCTAGGTATAATATGCACCTTTACTAGTTCAAAGATTAAAAGACACGACGCAAAATATGTATGTAATTTCGTTTACGAAATTTTCTATGAATAATATTTTTTTAAGGGGGAAAATCATCGAAAGACTTATTCCGCCTGGGTGAGGCGGGAGGGAGTGTCAGACTCTTACTGACTAAAAACTACCCCGTTCCTACTCAAGTTCTCCGCGGCTCCGTATCAGCCCTATTGGGCTCCATCCATGGATAAATAGTAGTATATGATCTAAATTAAGGACCGGGTTTAATGTATCTTTATTTTATGCGAAGTTAATAACAATACCGTAAGAGTATACGTCCATAGAGGTTTATAATAATTATGTTACACACCTCTCTCCCACTGTTTCAGAGAAAAAGTAATATATTGTAGAGATACCGTATTACTTTTTCTGAGTAAGAGTCGGCCTTCCGGGAAAATGGGTATGATATTATGATATAAATAATATCATCATCATAGAGACGTGTAAATTAAATTTTCAAAAATAATTTATTTTTAGCCTACGACACGCAAAGAGGGGTGTTGTAATTTCAACTTGTTGTCTACTGATTTGAGTGAGCTTTGTTCATTGCAGTTGTTGATGGATATGCTTTATAAATCAATCGGACAAATTGATTCAGCAACATAATATAACATCACGCCTTTTATCCCCGAAGGGGTGCAGAGGTGCACATTATGCCACTGTACAATGTAACACCCACTTTTCACTATTTATGCTATGAGTCCCATGTAATAGGGGGTGAGCCTATTGCCATATACCGGGCACAATTACAGACTTCGTGCTACTACTGAGATTTTTTTTAAAACCCAATAATACTTTGCCCGACCCGGGAACCGAACCCGAGACCCCTTGCCCGGCAGTCGCACCTGCGACCACTCGGCCAATGAGGCAGTTGGTTCAGTGCTATAGAAATTCAAAGGCAACAAAATAAAACAACTTAATTACATGCCCGTTTTTATCACTCTCTCATTATAACCTGTTGAAATATCTATAATTTCATCCCCTAAATATGTTCATACAAAAGTAGTCTCTAAACATCGGAAATAAGGTCTATAATGTAGTTAAAGGAGAGCGGTCACCGGTGACCGCTTGGGGGTAAACGACTAAGTTATGGCAGGTGGTACTTACTTAATGAAATTATGTTGTTTACGAAGCTATAGATATCGAAATATCATCAGTATGTACGAAATCGCCAATAGTCTCCTTGCTATTTCGTAATTAAAACCTAACAATTATGAAAATAAACCCAGTCAGTCAATCAAACTTGCATTTACAACCACAGCATCAGAGGAAAATACGAAAAATCCATTAGTTAATGCAACAGTGGGATCCTCTTTTATTTACTCGTTACGTAAACACTTGAAGCTAAAAACTGCCACATAAAATAAAATCTTAGACGTTTTTCTCGAGCCAAGGCCGCAAGGCGCCATTTTACCATTTTAGCTGGATTTATTTCGCCGTCACTCAACACCGAATAAATTCTTCTTGACAGACAGACAGATAGACAGACGACGTATTACAGCCATTGTTTTCCCACTTAAATATTGGTTTGATTTGTTAGAAAACAATTTTCCATTTTGGTGTAACGCTGTTTAGTAAGTGGTGTTCAGTTTAACAGTGTGTGAAGATTGTTCAATATTCTAAATATGTATTGTTGGAATGCGATCGCATATTTATAAGATTTTTTTATGGTATAAGCCGGTAAACGAGCTGACGGATCACCTGATGGTAAGCAATTGGCGTCGCCCATGGACACCTGGAACACCAGAAGCGTTACAAGTGCGTTACCGGCCTTTTGGGAATTAGGAGTTTGAGGATTGTTGGGGATTCGGGGATTGGAGAGATTGGGGAAAGAGCTGGGCCTCCGGTAACCTCACTCACATGACGAAACACAACGCAAGCGTTGCTTCACGTCGGTTTTCTGTGAGGCCGTGGTATCACTACTGTCGAGCCGGCCCATTTGTGCCGAAGCATGGCTCTCCCACACTTTATTATGTATTATTTAACTTTCGATAGGAAATGGAAATAATTTGTTTTACTAATACTTGAATGTATTTCATTAACTACATATTTTTCTATCACAGATTAATTTAATTCCCCAAAAAATCATTTCGAAATAGTAAATATTGTATTATAATTATTGTAGTGACATTTTACTTCACATTTCAGCCTTGACTATAATTCTAAATTTTGTTCTAGATGGTTGCAGATGGAACAATTGGGTCAGCTATTTCGTTTATAATGACGATACAAAATTATGCCTCTTTTGAAAGAGCAATATTACACAAAATATACTACTTATAATATAATCTATTATATCACCCTAACACGAAGTGACTACCAAAGGTAACCTTTTGGGGTTTCCAAAATCCCGATAAATCGTTACACCGAAAAACCGTAAATTGTCGTCCATTAAATACAAAATGATATCTAAACGTTCCTCGATAGCAAGAAGATTTATTTCTGTATAAATACTAAATAAAAGGCGACCCTCGTCATAGGGTGGACATGACGAGTAGAGACGCGGCAACTAATACGAATTTCGTACCTTTTATACAAGTTATAGGGTGTTTGTAGTTTGGGGAACACCTGATTGCGGTTTACGAAATATTTGTTAAACTTATGGGGTTTTAGATTTCCCATTATTTGAAGAACAGAAGGAAGGAAGATAAAATATCATCATAATGGAAAGTATTAGTTTTCTCTTAAAACGTTGCCCCACATTAGGATTTTCTCCTGTGTCGTGGGTGCGTTTACAAACACAAATTCTATTATACACACGACACCCAGACCCGAAACAATAATTTGTAGATCTCACAAAGAGTTGCTCCGTACGGGAATCGCACCCGCTACACGTTCCACGGCAGCCTGTTTTCCAGCCAGCGCGCCAACCGTGCAGTCGATTGTACCTATCGAATTGCAAAACTTAATTGTTTAAAGTCTGTGGAATTAAACGAGCATTATTCAAGTCATGAAATGCAAAGTAACTGTTATGTGCATTCACATTCATTCAAGTGTGAATAAAAATGAAATTAAATGAAGTAAATAATAATGTTGACTAGTCGCATTTCTCTTCGCTCGCATCTCGTCATCTCGGTCGAGGGTCGTAAACTGACAGGCCATCACGAAGTCATTCGCACGAGTATTCCTTTTAATTAAGCTCATTACATAGATCTTTCTTCAAAATAATTTAACTCAGATATACAGTCATAGCC